GCTGCTGAGCTATCTCCCAGGCCCCTATGAGCCACATTTAGGTGATTACTTCAAAATTACTTTTAAGTTTGATTCCCAGCTAAATAAATAACTTTTGGAAGACATCAACTTTACCACATAGCTCATTTTCCCCCTGGATTTCCTCTGGGATGCCTAAGTCCCCCAAGAACCCAAGGGTGTTCACACTGAGCTACATCCCCAGCCCTTTGACAGAGCCAGGACTTTGCTAAGTTCCCAGGCTGGGCTAAAACTTGGGAGTCTCTGGCCTCAGCTCTCAGAGGCTGGTGATTACAGCCTTGTGCTACCATGCTGGGATCCCAGGGCCCTCTTCAGAGTCTGCATTCATTCCTAGAATTCCTTGATCATCTCTCGACAGCTATCTTGACACTAAGGTCTTGCTCTTAAGCTCCAGAATGATGCTTTCATAGCCTAAACACCTTTATTGAGCCAGACATGCTCCCTATCCAGTGTTCCCCACAGGAATTCATCACCCCCAAACCTGCTGCTCCTCTTCTCCTGCCTGCTTAGGTTAACGTTGTGTCACCCTTAAAAACCCTGGAGGGGGTGGGGAGCCTCCACTCTTATCTCTGAACTTTGGTAATGGCGCTCTTTGCTGGTACTACATGTCGGAGCTGAGGTTCTGGGATGACTTTTGGGTTCAAATCCAGATGATCTGATTATCTCTGTGTGAATCTTGTCCTTCACCTCACTTGCCTGCAGATCACATGGGGTTGGCAATACTGCCAAAAACTGTTGAGATGACTCGTGTTTACTTAGAATAGTGCCTGGCTCATAGTAGGCACTCAATGTAGTTGTGACTCCCCTTTCTGTAATTCTTGGTCGCTGGCCCTGTTCAGAACGCAGTTCCAGGAATTCTTCTGAGAAGCCTTCCCTCGGCATGCTACCAAGTAGGTAGCCAAACCTTCTTCCTTATTCCACTGCACTTAGTCTGCATCTTTTTGCAACATACCATTTGGACTTCTGAATATTTGTACAAAAATGTGTTACCTTTTAATCTGCAAAATCCATTCAAATCATGTCTCAGTGACATAGATTATCTCAAATGCCTAGCATGTCTAGCACCTACCTGACACATTATTAATCTCAGCAAAGTAAATGTCACCTATCAATTTTCCTTCCTAAGTATCTCTCACACCTCAAGCCCTTATCACTATATAATTACTGGAAAGCTTACTGTCCACACAAGTGTTTGTCATGAGGAACTAAGTATTCCTTAGCCCACACATTGATGTACCACAGTACAGGAACACAGATCAGTGGCAAACATCTAGGGTACTTAATCCAAAGCAACTTTTTTACTCCTAAATCACTTTGCACTCTGAAAGATAGCAGCCTTCTTCATAATCTTTTGGGGAACCCTAATTTCTGTAGAAATCTGCATATGCTTTCTTTCTTGGGTCAGCCACACCAAACTAGAGCTGCAATCCCCAGGGAGACAAGGAATACTCCCATCAGTATGAACCTGCAGACGCCTGGCCAGAAGACCCTGCATCTGAGGTTTCGCCACCGCACTAGAACTGATGGTAGTTACTGTCCTCGACACCAAAGTCCATTGCAGCTGACTGAGAAAAGAACTCTTACTAATATTGTTGATACTAGTCTCTTGCTTCCTTTTCACTGTCATCAGAATGAGTTGGATAGGGCCAGGGAGATGGTTCAGTGGAGTAAGTGCTTCCCTGGCAAGCACAAGGGCCTGAGTTCAATCCCTCGTTACACATACACACACACACACACAGAGAGAATGAAAAGAATGAGTTGGAAATCCTTGTTCTCAAAAGGTTACTTGTAAAATATCTTCCAAAGTGCTTACCATGCAAAAATCTGGCCTCAGATTACCTGTAGTCTTCTTTCATTTGTTCCTTCAACAAACTTTAGGTTCCAGATATACTCATCTCTTCACTATATCCTTCGTGTTCACTTTTTTTTTTTTTTTTTTTTTTGGTGGAACCGGGGATTGAACTCAGACACTTGGGCTTGCAAGGCAAGCGCTTATTCTACTGAGCCATCTCCCCGGCCCCCGTGTTCACTTTTTATTCACGTTGTAATATCATCTTAAAACAGAGGTTGCAAACTGGTGGGCCCATGTTGTTACTGGGCCTCAGGCTTTTTTTTTTTTTTTAAACTTTTATTTATTTAGCTGAACCGGGGATTAAACTCAGGCCCTTGAGCTTGCCAGGGAAGCGCTTATTCCATTGGGCCATCTCCCCGGCTTTTGTTGTTTTTTGAGACAGGGTCTCACTCTGTAGCCCAGGCTATCCTTGAAGTGATCCTCTTCCCTCAGCCCCTCAAGAGCTGAGATCACAGGCATGTGCCACCACATCCCACTCATCTCTCTGCCCATAGTGAATCTTAGCTTATTTATTATGCCTTCTTACAGGCCCCAGGGAGTAAGTTCTCTGTAGGCTGGTGCCTTCTGCTACATGAACCCCTCATCCCCTAGGCCCACTCTAGTAAGTATACTTTGCAAGGTACACATTCAATGAATATTTTTTTTTTATTTGTGTGTGTGTGTGTGTGTGTGGCCAGCTCAGCCCGCCAGGGGGCGGGGCTGGCTGGCATGTGGTGCTGGGGGATTGAACCGCGGTCCCTGTGCTTTGCTAAGCTTGTTCTAAGTAGGTGCTTTAGACCACTGAGCCATCTCACCAGCCCACATTCAATGAATATTTACTTCTAAAAATCAAATCTAAGTTGGGCACATAGGAACACGCCTGTAATCCTAACACTCAGGAAACTGGGGCAGGAGGACTTGTGAGGCCAGCCTGGGTTACACAGAAAAACCATCTCAAAAAAACAACAAAAACTACCCTAAAAGCTGTTACCATTTGTGACATTCAAAAGAATAAACATCAGGTTCATAAAGAAAAATGAAAGGAGTTTCAGGGAAATAGAAGTCTAGTAGAAGTCTAGGGCTGGGGAGATAGCTCAGTGGCATAAGCGCCTGCCTAGCAAGCCCAGGGTCCTGAATTTGATCCCTGGTACAAAAAAAAAAAAAAAAAAAAAATTTACTGGTTTCACGAACATGCAATCACTCAGCTCATTCTTTTTGATTTATTTACTTGGGGCTAGGGAGATGGCTGTGTAGAATAAGCACTTGCCTGGCAAGTGCAAGGGCCTGAGTTCAATCCCCGGTTACACAAAAAAAAAAAAAAAAGAAAGAAAAGAAAAAAAGAAAAGAAAAAAAAAAAGAAAAAATTACTTACTTGGTACAGGATCTTGCCATGTAGCTCAGACTCATAGTGATCCTCCTGTCTCAGCCTCCCCAGTGCTGGGATTACAGGTGTGTGCCACCACACCTGGTTTCAGTGGCTAGCATGGTGTGCCCAGGGTTCCAGGACTGGCATGGCAGGTACCAGGGATTGAACCTTGGTCCTTGTGCTTGCCAGGCAGGTAGGTGTTTAGACTGCTGAGCTATCTTATCTTCCCCGGCCCTCATTGTACTTATTTATTTAGCAGAACAGGGAATTGAACTCAGGCCCTTGCACTTGCCAGGCAAGCACTTATTCTACTGAGCCATCTCCCCGGGCCCTTCACTCTACTTTTGATATCATTATTTTCTAATCACATATGAGAGACTGAGTGTAGGAATCTCCCTACCATTTTTTTGTGGAACTGGAGATTGAACTCAGGCCCTTGCGCTTACCAAGGAAGCGCTTATTCCACTAAGCCATCTCCCAGGCCCTTCCCCCTACCATTCTAACTAGAATTTCTAAAATACATTTATATCAGACATGTACTATTCTACAAATTTAAACTAAAGCTCAGGGGAAAGGGATTTCTTCTCATGGCAGGGAGGTGGTGACAGAAAATGCTTAGGAAAGGCTAGGTGTGGTAGTACATTCCCTAATCCCAGAACTCAGGAGGCTGAGGCAAGAGGATCATTGCAAATTTGAGACCAGCCTGAACTACATAGTGAGACTCTGTTTTTGTGTGTGTGGAACCAGGGATTTGAACCTTGCAGAACCAGGGATTTGAACCTCAGACCCTCGTACTTGCCAGGCAAGCGCTTATTCTACTGAGTCATCTCCCTGGCCCCATGAGACACCCCCCCCCCCTTTTTTTTTTTTTTTTTTTTTTTTTTGGGCAGAACCGGGGACTGAACTCAGGCCCTTGTGCTTGCCAGGGAAGTGTTTATTCCACTGAGCCATCTCCCTGGCCCCCCCGACCCGATTTCAAAAAGAACTTTTTTTTCCAGTACCAGAGATTGAATTTAGGACTCTGCACCTGTCAGGTAAGCACTTATTCTACTGAGCTATCTCCCCGGGCCCTCAAAAAAATTTTTTTTTAAAAAAGTGTTCGAAAAGGCTTTATCAAGGTTTGACAACCACATGTGGTACTTCTGGTTTTTCCTCCTCACACTTGCTTTCTTGGTAAGGAACCACTGAAGGGTGGAGGCTACCCAGCAGCCTACAGAGTAATTCCAAAACAAAGACTCCAAAACAGAAGTACCTGTAGGACAAGAGGAAAGAAGCATACATATTTTCTGTACAAACAGCCCCAGCAGGGCATGGTAGCACACATGTGTAATCCCTGCACTTGGGAGGCTGAGGGGGAATCGTTGAGAGTTCAAGACCAGCCTGGGCTATAAATGAGCTAAGGGCCAGTCTGAGCTGCACTGAGACCCTGTCTCAAAAAGATGAAGGAAAAAAAAAAAAAGAAAGAAAAGAAAAAAGATCCCAAGCCCAGAAGTACCCAGGAAGACATGGGATTTAGCACACCACAGAAAAAGCTCAGTTCTGATACCCAGGGAGAGCTTTGGCTGCCATGAACAGGAGGGAGGAAAGGATGCAGGAGGGCACATGTGGCCAAGTGGACAGGAGGGATACACCACTGCCAGATGTCCTGTCTGGGTCAAGATAGGTTACAAAGCAAGCAAGGAAGGGAACTGGGGTGAAAGAAAAACCTCAGCAGAGGAAGAAACCTTCACAAGGGGAGTGATGGTGATTTAAGAATTCAGAGGTTTGAGAGACAGGTTTATTATTAGTGTAGTCATGAACAGCACATACAACACAACCAGCAACCCGAAGAGACACCAGTGCAAAGGGGAAGGAAGCCGTAACGGAGCTGCCTGGCTCCATCTAGGGGTGAAGACAGGAGAGCGTGGCCCCTGCTAAGGCGTGTGTGTGTGTGTGTGTGTGTGTGTGTGTGTGTGTGTGTGGTGTGTGTTTTAAGAAACGTAACCCAACTCACAGTCCCATTGTTTCAAATTCCTGAGCAGTTTCCTGGGGCTGGAACTGTTCTTCAAGCATCAGCTACCATCCCAACCCAGTGGAGCTGTGATCCGACTACCCAATCCAATGGCACACTGGTCTGGAATAAATCTCCAAAGACCCAACGACACTGCGGAGGGGAGCCCCAGTCTCTCTCTGAGCTCACCTGCCTGACTCTGCCAGTCACCATAGGAATCAAGGAAAGCCCCAGGGAGCCTCAAATGGAAGTGCTTAGGTGGATACAGCAGAGCACAGCCTGTTCTCAGGCACACAAAGGTATCGTTCTTAGCCTGTCTGTCAGGTGAAACTTAGAACCCAGCTCCAAGGAAAGTTGGGAGGAGGGCCGCTTCAAAATCAGTGCTCTAATCCAGGGTTTTATGGTAAGATGCTGGGCTGGGAGGAAACTTCTTCAGGGCCTAGGCATTCATGCTGGACTGTCACATCCATCACAGGAGCAGGAAGCTCCTCACTGCAGATGGGTTACAGAGGGTGGGAACAGGTGTCAGAGTCAACCAAGGACCCCCTTGGCTCTTCCTATATTAAAACCAAAGGCTGTGCTGAGAAGGAAAAATGTAAAAGACCCTATCCCTGCCCCACCCTATCCAGAATCCCAACAGAAAGAGCAAAGCTGAAACAACACCCCCCAAAACAAACTGAAACAAACTTTAAATTTTGTTAATTTTTTTTCTTTTTTCATTTCTTAAAAAAAAGTAAATAAATTAAATGCCAACAATGTAGCTGGGCTAGAATGTGGTGTAAGCCCTAACAAGGCCATTCTATTTTTTAAAAATGTGGAAAACAGATTGGGTTTGTAAAATATAGACAAACAACAGCTAAAAGAAATTATCAAAATAACTACAATCACAGGACCAGTGAAAGGTCTATGAAACTATCATGGACATGCCACAAAAGGCAGTGCCCGCCCTATTTCAGCAAAAGCCAGAGAGCAGCTTCTTGCTGAGTGTATGAACCCATCAGCCTAACTCCTCCCCTCAGCCCTGCCTTTCCCCAATTAGGAAAGTGCAGGCACAAAGAGCTCATCAACTCTCTGCATCCTAGCCTGTGCTCCTGCAGTCCCAGCAGGCGCTGCACCTCAAGGTGGGCTGCGGAGGAGGTGCTTGGCACAGAGCTCCAGGCTTCCCCCAGGGCTATCAGGAATGGCCAATCACTGGCCTACAAACTTCTAGGGTTTTGGTTCCACCCTGACCAGTTCTCCTGGATGTCTCCTCCCCAGAGGTGCCTTCTAGATGCCACTTAAGAGTCAACAGGTCTGCCTGCTCCGATTCCCTGGCTTAGGAGGAAAAGGGCAATTAGAGATTCCTTACTCCACCGTGAGCCTCTAGGCAAAACTAATCTCTTTGTGCTTTCTGCAAATATCTGGAACCATGGACTCTTGGCAGGAAAATACAAAAATGGGTACATTCCTACCCAGACAGAATTTACAGACATTTTAGAAGAAAAAAATATGGCAAAAGGCAGGAATCTGGGTTTCCACCCCTGAAGGCTGAACAAAGTGTCCCATTGCCCTTCTGTGCCAGAAAAGCAGGGGGATTTGTGGCTCAGCCTTAAGGAAAACGGGGAGGACTCAGGGCCCAGATGCTGGAGTGATAGGGCTTTCAGATTTCCATCTCTTCCTGATAGCCAGTCAATCTCTCCTATATCTCCTCCACGCCATGCGCAAATATCATGACAAGGCCCGGCTCCTGCACCATGTCATCTCCCATATGCTGGTTCTCACAGGCCATTACCACAACAGCCTGCTTGCCAGGGATGCGCTTGGCCACGTAGTTCTCATAGAAGCGTCGGTTCATCTGTCTTGTCTCTAGTGTGGCCAGACCCTGAGGCCAGCTGCGTTCGTGGGCATTTTCAATCAGCTCGTTGACAATAGAGGCAGGACAGCCACTTTCCACTAGGGAGCGCTTGATCACAGCCTGGAGCACTGCGTCCGGGGTGGAGATCATCCCTCCCCAGCGGGTCACTCTGGCCGGCTGCAGGGAGTTCACCCACCTGTGTGGAGGGGGTTGGAGGTGGTCATTCCAGCTCAATTTCCTTTCATTGCTTTGGCTGCTTCTAAGAACACCCACCCACCCTGTGCTTAGCTTGACTCTATTCATCTTTCCTTCCAGCACTGGCTCAGAAACCTCAAATCTTACCCTAGTTGACCCCATCTGAGTCACCACATGTTACTCACCAGATTAAAGCCCATGAGTTTAAGTTCTGTTCTTGTTTTCTTTGAAATCCCATTCTCAGTGCTTAACATACATCATGCCTGGCACAAAGTAAGTACTCAACATATATTTACTGAATGATGCAAAGGTTCCATTGTACTGTGTCCCACTTGGCACTATTTGCCATATATATA